CAGCACGGGACTTGGCAGAAAACTACATGGGGGGGGGGGGCTCTGCTGAATTTTGTTTTTTTTGGTTTTTTTTTGTGGGGGGGGGGGATGCACATCCCTGAAATATATTAAAGTTGGTTACGACTGTCTTGGTCACAAGTCCAATTCATGCTCAAGTGAAAATAAATTAATAAATCGAGGGATTACACAAACACAGAGTGGGATATGAAGTACACATGGCTGGGTGTTGACTGAGGTCTGAGGGAGGGGGCACACCAACATCAGCAGCTGAGTCAGACTCGCTGGTGGCTATCACGACAGATACAGAAATACACTGTCCGCCATTGCTTAGAGAAGTGATTCTTGGAAAAACACAAGCCTGTGCAGACTATATATAAATAGGTGTGTGCATGTATGTGTGTGTGTGTGTGTGTGTGTGTGTATATACTATATATGTGTATATAATATATGGATATATGTATAGTTGTTTGTGCGTGTGTGTGTGTGTGTGTGTATATACTATATATGTGTATATAATATATGGATATAGGTATAGTTGTTTGTGCGTGTGTGTGAGTGTATATACACACACACACACACACACACACACACACACACACACCTATACATATATCCATACATTATATACACATACAGTAGATAGTTATTTAATGCTGGTCAGGACTGGCTAAGCTTCAGACTGAAGAATGTGAAAAAGACAGGAGGTCCCAAAAAACCGCCCGTCCTGTTTATGAGACAGTCCGACGTACCAGGAACAGCAACGACATCAAAACAGCACATGCCTCATGGATTCCCATAAAACCCCAGCGATACACGCAAATCACAGATAATTACCCCTCTACCCAAAGCCTCATTTCCCAAGAAGCTGGTAAATTCCAAATCATTAAAATTATGTGCTGAGAGAAAGGTCACAAAGTATGTACTTCCATTTACTGGATTTTAGTTGCAGAGGACAACACGTCTTATGGTTTTGTAACTGGGATTTTTCCAGTTTACATAACTGCATATTGACCACAGCATTTCAGATTAAACACACAGCTCACGCGTACAGCAGCAGACTTATCCTGTACGGTTCATTTTTAATTTTGTTTTTTTACTACAAACTCTACATAGCCACTCTGCTACCAACTGTCCCTCAAACCAAAAGGTGACACTTTTATTCCTTTGCCAATCTGCCACAGTGATCGTCTCCCACCCATGAGATTACATTGAGTATGGGGGGGGGCCCTCGGAGCCAGTGTTCTGCTGACGTGGCCATGTGAAGTTTTTAAGCCCTTCTTACATTGGCTGAATTCAGCGTAAGGCACTGCCACCACAGACCCGTTGAATTTTTCACCTCAATCTTTAAAGCTTCTGAGGGAGAAGATGTTGGCTTTTGTCATGCCAGCCAGACTCTGGCTCTGGTGTGTGTTTCTTTTCCTTGGGAAACACTTTAAAACCCTGAGTTTTTGACAGACAGTGCAGAGTCAAACACAATATGTAAAAAGGGGCTACAGAGGAGCACAAATGGAAATTCACTGACCACAGAACAGATTCTCTGCTGCTGAGAGACTGACTCACTGTGGCTTCAGTGCCGCCTGAAAGGACAATACTGCTGGAGAAACTGGAGATGTGGCCCATCAACAGCCAGACAGTCAGATTGATCTCCTCATGATGCACCTCCCCAGGACAAAGGAGGGGGGTGTGACCGGAAGACGGTCAACCAGGTCGGCCACACAATCAACATGCACCAAGGAAGGGGAGCCGCCAGCAGAAGTGAGATATCTGACACACAGGAGCGAAAGTGGGCAGAAGGCAAAGCTGCCGTCAGGGTGACAGGGTGTGGGGGGGTGGGGGGCTGCCCAGAGGCATCAAAGGAACAGCAATGTTGATGAAGCGACCTGCATGCAGATTCCACAGGATCACTTGAAATGCCAGTGTGTCACATGGCACCAGAGCCAAGGAGGGCGACAGAAGGAGGGGGGAGTGCCAGCTCAACTATAAGAGCATTCATTCATCATTTCATTCATTCATCATTCATTCACCGCCATGGGGAAATCGGGCTTCTCGTATCCCACCTTCTTCTCCATGAATGGTCTGCTAGAACCAAAATCTGGGCTGCACACGCACAGTCTGCAAAGACACTCCTGATGATGAAATTTAGGCCAGACGCACAGTGCGCGCGCATGAGAAAAAGTGGAGTATGAACTCCAAGCTAAATGCTTATATAAAGAGAGAAAAGGCCAAGCATGCATCCAATCCAATGCACTTACCATCACCTCCTTTGTCTTAAATTCCACACACCTAGAGATGTAACCCAACATCCTATTGGCCTTTTTAATTGCCTCCCCACATTAGCAAGAGTGGGACATGGAAGTATCAACATACACACCAAGGTCTTTCTCATAATCAGCTACCTTTATTTCAGTGGAACCCATAAAAATGTCTGTACTTTATGCATGGATTACCTTACATCTGTCTACATTAAATGTAATCTGCCAGGTATCAGCAGATGTCACTGTAGCCTCTGTGCCGCTATTTCAGTATCTGCTACATCACCCACCTTGGTGTCATCTGCAAATGTAATCAGTTTACTGTATATTTTGGTGTCAATACCGTTAATGTAAATTAGGAATAACAATGGTCCAAAAACTGAACCCTGGGGTACTCCACTATGAACACAGGCCCACTGTGACATTGTGCCTCTAATAGCTACCTGCTGCTTCCTGTCTGTTAACCAGTTTTCAATCCAAGCTGCTACAGTTCCTAAAATCCCTGCAGCTCTGAGCTTAAGCAAGAGTCGTTTGTGGGGGACAACATCAAAGGCATTCTGGAAATCGAAATAGATTGCATTGTAGGCCTTTTTAGAGATCAATTTCTCTTGTAGCTTCCTCAAAAGACTCAAATAGATTAGTTAAACAGGATCTGCCTCTCCTAAATCTATGTTAGCTAACCCTCAGAATGTTATTTGAATCCAGGTAATCTACCATTTTCACTTGGATTATAGCTTCCATTACTTTGCCAGTTATGCAAGTTAAACTGATTGGCCTATAGCAGGGGTCTCCAACTCCGGTCCTGGAGAGCTACTATCCAGTCGGTTTTCAATCCTACCTGGCTTCTGATGAGCCACACCTGTTCTCAGGTAAATAGCAGGAGAAGGTGTGGCTCATCAGAAGCCAAGTAGGATAGAAAACCTACTGGATAGTAGCTCTCCTGGACCGGAGTTGGAGACCCCTGGCCTATAGTTTGCTGGATTACTTTTATCCTCTTTTTTGAATATGGGCGTTATATTAGCATGCTTCCAATCAGAAGGTACCACACCAGCAGATAACGATTTCTGAAATAAAGTTAATGGTCGGCAAATAATTCCTAATTTCTTTTAAAACTATAGGTTAGATGCCATCAGGGCCCTGTAATTTATTTATTTTGAGCTTAGCTAGACTTTGTAGCACATTAGCTTCAGTTATATATATACAGACGCTCCTCTACCTGAGTTACGTTCCGAACGGCCGTTGGTAACTTGAAATGTTCGTAAATGATTAACATCATTTTAAGGGTATAGGCAAGTACAAAGAACTAGGATGCTGGGAGTACGCACGCTACGCTGCTGTGCGGCAGGAGTAGTGGCCAGAAGTCATACTAGGCGGAATTGGCGTGCAGAAAAAAAAATTAATGTTGTGGACAAGAAACGGGAGCCCAAGGAACACAATTTGGACTTATAGTCCTCTTTGTTCGTATGTCTGAAAGTTCGTAAGTTGAAAGTTCATAAGTGGAGGAGCGTCTGTATTAGTCATAGTGGACGCTGGATTAGTAGCTGGATTGTGATCTAGTGATAAATCAACGTGTTATTGTCATTTTTAATTCTAACTAAGGGTTAATGCACAACAAGATGTGCATTACATGTATTTAAATGTATGGCTGTAGAGGCAAAAAGAACCACCTAATGTTTATACTAAGGTTACTACACATTTGGCTGACATGTTTGAACCTAAAAACATTATTTTTCATGTTTACGAGCCGAATGAGACACGCGATCATCCAGATGAGATCACCCTCAAATATTTCAATGATAACTTTGCCTGGATACTTCATCCCACATTTCATTGAACTTTTCTTTATTGTCACAGGTTCTGGAATTAAATGGACAATTTCAAACTAACAACTAGCCTTTGGGCTTAGCAACAGGCAATTTTCGAATTGGCTTGGATCATATCTAAGCAAAATGTTTAATCACTGGCGGAAGAAAGTGGTTCTACTTATAAATTCGTTTTTGGCTCAAACATCGAAATGATGTCTTTAGGTACAAACGTGCAATCCAAATGTGTAGTAACATGGTATAAGTAGCTTAATGAACTCTAATCCGTGCATCATATATTTGTATGAAGCACGGCTCGTTGTGCATTAACCCATAGTAATTATTCATATGGGGATGGCATATTATTTGTTCAATCTATAAAGCTGGACAATAGCTTTAAAACAATATGAAGATCACTTCTGTGCAGCTTACATTAAGGTAAATATAGCCAGTCATAGTCATAAAAGTTAAAACTTTGTTTAAATCTCCAATTTCAGATTCATGAGATACTTATGTGACCAAATCAGCATGCCAAGTTTCGTTAAAATCCGTGACGATTAAGTCCGAAAGTGTGATGATTTGACATGGAATGACCCAATTGCATGGTCTCCCCATGTTCTCCTCATACAGCATTTTGATGGATTCAGTCAGACAATCACAAAGTCACTCACCATGTGGTCAGTACAGAACTTTAGTTAAAGATTTATGTCATACATTTAATATAACCAATCAAAACAAAGCATGAACGCATCATAGAAAACGTGCCTTTCTGGCCCCCAGCTAAGATGTTCCCTCAAAAGGACCACAGTGGACAAGGGTTCTCATTGACCACTGTGCTTCCACTATCTGCCAAAGTCGGCTCTCCTCTCTCCAAATCAAATTAAAGGCACAGCACACCAGTTCAGTATGAACATTGCACACAATGCTAGCAAATGTTAAAACTGACCTGTGTGATGAAGTTCTCTCTGTAGTGCAGTTCATCAAACACCTCTGTCTGTAGCCGACCTGTAACGACACACATAGAACGGCCCAAAAAATTAAGGTGTGTGCTATGGAGCAATTTCATGAGGGTGAAAAAAACAATGAGGAGATTCATACCTTTTAAATCACATTCACAGTATCTGTTGGGTATCGATTACCAAAAAGCAACATTTTAAAACATTACAGATAAGGAAATTTGAAATAAAAATGGCCTAACAAGTATTTATTGCACCACTGTTAAATTCACTGCTAGTGTTGCTCTAGGGAAATATGCAGCTTGCGGGGCAACAAGGCTCCTCTAAGGGGGGCACTGACTGGTGGGACACTTCCTGGTATGTATAAGATTGTATGGGTCACTTAGACATGTGATAGACCTTGTGCAACATCACACAACATACAGAGACAGAGGCTGCTAGACTGAGGCAAAAATAAGTTTTTAAAAATAAGGTCAACCAATCAAAACTACTTTGGCACAGCAACCATACTGCCCCAACTTTTGGGAAAGATCAGCGATTATACACTTTATTTCTTAGAAGAGATATTTTGCAGAAAATTCTAACAAGATTGTTATTCTATTGCAATATTAAATGTCAATGACATTAATTTATTATGTGAAGTGCCAAAGTTAGAATTAGATGCAAGTAGCCTCTCCTCTATGACCGCAGAAGACTTTGAGGCAAATCACATAAAAACAATCCATGTTTTTATCTACCACCTACTGCATTTAGGTCATTCAGCTTGCGCGTTTGGTTAGTAGTTTAAACACCAGTCTAACCATATAAAATCACTGATTCCCTTGTCCTCCTCAATACATTTTACTCACCTCTGCTCAACACAGCTCCACTTTCTCTGTAGTCCTGAATTTCAGCATCCTTCCTCACAAGCAGGGCAGCCAGCTCAGCTACTTGTCTTTGCAATATTGAATTCACAGCCAGCAGGGGGCACACTAGCTGACTGCACACCTGTAAGGACACGACCAGTCACTGAACCAGGAACAGCTTCAAAATAACACACTGGTGGCAACAGGCACATATACATGGACGCGTACAAGAACAATGCTGTTCTGAGACATAACAAGAAGGCTAGTGAGAAGTGAGACGACTGGAAACGGCCATTTGAAAGTAGGAAGGAAAATGGGAAGCATGCTTTCAGTCTGGGAATGATTGTGGCCATGAGCCTGCAGGAGAACTTGTGACTAGACTATGTGTTAATGACATGCAGGAAAACCACACATGTAGATAAGCCCTCCACACACAGCGTAAATAGCTTGTATGAAAGAAAAGCTTTTACTGCTATCCATGCATCTATCTTCCATGGCTCCCACCAGCTGCAGGAATGTGCAGATATCATTCCCTCTCTTTAATACGTTTAAGTCAAGAAACAGAATTTACTGTTTGGCAATTACATCTACCCAGGTGACATTGTGTCATGGGGCCGCGAATTTCAAGCTATGTCCCTGCATACACAGCGATTATCCCGGGTCCCTAGTGCTACAGCAACATGTTGAATTTACACTATACCACTGCCACAGATGAGGAAGAGCAGCGGAACTCCCAGTAGAAAGGCACTCCTGCCAGCTCACTCTTGAGTCGCAACGTTAGCCGGTGGGGCTTCAAGTCAACGACGGAGATGGATGGCACATCACCACTGCACGCCACTGCAGCACCAGGTTCCCCAGCCAGATACGGGCGCGCCACTGTGCGCAGGTGAGCGAAGAAAGCGTCAGCGGGCGCTCGGAGACGCTTGTTAAGCTCCTGCAAATAGAACAGTAAATCAGACTGAGCTTTTAAAGGGCACCACACCTACTACACACGCCTGTCTTTACCTGTGCTCTTTCCTTAATGGTGTCTGCATCCACCTCCTCCTCCCACACACTCTGCATGTCGCTCAGCAACATCTGGTACTTTGTGTCCCCAAAGTAGGATTTTGCCAAGAGCTGTATGCCACCCAGGCGGACTGGCATCCAAGGCTGCAGCAGCAGGTCTATGTCCAGCGCTAACGTGCTCATTGCAGCAATACAGCCCACTGATGTGCAGAGGAACAAAGGGAAGAAGATGGTTACCCAGAACATAAAAGCACAAGATAAAGAGAATTGCACTAAATATGCACCAGAAATCAACTGCAGGTCTCACTCCAAAACCCACCCAAAATCTTTCATTACTTTTTTTCTGTGAAAATTAAGTACGATGTACTGTATGATGTTTTTCCATAGGGTGTACTCAGGCTTTAAAATTGTTTTCATTAACCGGGTCATGATAAAATATAAAGTTTTAAACATTTTTTTTCCCCTCTTTCTAAAACTGAAATTGTATTTGATTTTAATTCAACCAAGGGTGTTGTTCAACAAAGCTAACTAAAGTTCTGCTACATGTCCATTTAAATACCAATTTTACTCCCATTGGTTATTCTAAACTATTTTACAGGGTGTCGGTTAATTAACAGCTAAGGTGGCTTCTGATGCTGTCTGGACTGAATTAGCCATCCACAATAAGTGACTTTAGACTGGCTTTTAGGGCCATAAATATGTAGATATATAATAGTTAATACTTCTAACACAAAAACAACAAAGGATTCATGTGACACGTATCTAGAATTTTAACTTTTTTTAACTGTGACAAGTCTCTTGTGGAAATTATACTGTTTTCATACTAGCTGACTTGCTAGCTGGCAAATACTAACGTGCATTTTCTAAGCCGAGTTAAAACTATATAGCCATCATGTATATTAATTATATCATAAACAAAATACATTTATTAAAAAATAATCCCGAATCATTAAACGGCTACCGAAAATCTTTTTTAAGTGCGCATTCCCTCAAGCCCGACTTGCCTCACAGGATATCCGTCGGGCTTCAACTTCCGACGAGAAACTTCGACATACAAATAAAGGTTCCTCTAAAAACTGTGCTTGAAGAGATTGCGCTCTCACCTGTTTAGTCAGAGCTTTCTCACATAAAAAGTAGAAACAGACTTCATACGTATATTCTCAATTCAATAAGAATGTTTAACATATTGCAGTGAGTGTGTGGGTCATTCTAATAAATAGGAGGTGACTGCTCTTTTAAAATGTGGGAATAGCGTTTGTAATGACACTCATCGCTAGTCCACCCTAACAGCGGCATAGATATGGAAGCCAACCGTTTATACAATACTGATACTTACGGTTACATGCTAACACGCACACACATTCCAAAGCAATGACGCAGTTAGGACATTTGCTATTTACAACATAAATACATTAATAGACAAAATTTAGACTATTTACAAACTCCGTGGTGTGGAGAACTGCATAATTGGTCCTGCCGACCAACCCCACGGGGTCACAGCATTTATTTTCTTTTCTTATGTAGGCTTTGTATATGTGAGATTTATAAAATAGAAGCAAATGTTCTCAATTCCCAGCATGAAGTTAAAATTAGTGGATTGAAAAGTACCAGTAAGAATCCATCCATCCATTCTTCTTCTAACAGCTTATCGTGGTCAGGGACATAGGGGGCCTTGAGCCTGTTTCAGGCAGCATAGGGCAAAAGACTGGGGTGCACCCTAGATGAGATGGCATGACACACCTCACTGCTCTCCAATAGTTTCCTGCCAGAGGAAGTGGAGGGCAGTGAGGCGTGACATCACTGTGTGCATGTCACATGCTTTTTATTAGAACTTTTTTGTAGTTTTATAACAGAGGTAACAGAGTTGGGACATTGGGAACATTGGGACACACACAAAATGTATTTTTTATTACTGAAATTACATATAATACAGAATATATATATATATATATATATATATATATATATATATATATATATATATAT